ATGCGCTATTGATGGGACAAGCCCCGTTTTCCCCGCAGAAACAATTACACGAAGCAAAGTTGAAAAAGGATGAAAATTGTTGGAAATTACACCAAAAAGGTCTGTAAAACCAGTTATTTGCATGACTGGGTACCGGTTCGTCACAAAACGTAGTACGAAATCATGCAAATACATTTTCAAGAAATAGACGGGGAGACCACATAAAGCAGCATTTAAGACAGGGACGTTATCTAAAACTGAATTTTCACCAGAATCTACGGAATCACTGATCCGCGTAACCTTCTATCGCCAAATTGAAGAACGAGGTTTATAATATTTTACTCAACCTCGTCAGTTGATTTAAGAACTGATTCCACCGACAGTGAAACAAACATTAATAAGGAAGACTTATCAAATAAACTGAAAGTCAAAATAAATGTCGTTTTTACCTGTCTGTAAAAGAACATGAGGCTGCTCGCAGATGCAATAAGGGAACTGCCACACGTCTGCCAGACGAGCAAAAGTTCCAAAGAAAACCGCGCACCAATCACATAACGCCAAAATAAGCAGAACTGTTGGCTTGAGACTGCTACACTCGCGTCGAAGGCAAAATGTGCTCGTGACGGAAAAGTTCAAAATAAACACAGTTACATCTGAATCGCATTTAACAAGCATGCTGATTCTTCTGAAAATCGGGACCGTCAAATCAATATGGTCCCAGACGGTTGAGCTGTCAAGCCCGCTGTTATTTTGATCCCCAAATGTAATCCAAAACTAAAAGACTTCTTCTTGAAGCTTAGCTAAGTTTTAACTCCAGGATCGGCCTGAAAATTTCCTGGACGAAGGCTGTGTTTCCTGGATTATAGCCCTGTAGAGAATATCGAGCGAATCATGTCTGCAAGTACTTTTTTGCTAACATTTCAAAGAGCGATCTGGCCTTGTTGAAACGTAAAATAATTATGCATATTAGGTGCAAAACGAAAACCGCAGTAGTAGACAGACAATAAAAGGATGTTTTGTAGGAAGCTTTCGTCGCCATAGAATCCACTGTAAAGAGTTTTTTTCGCAGACAGGCCACAAATTGATAAAGTCAAAATTTTTGAACGCAACTCTTTTCGCCGCCTTAAAACAAGATCTTAAATTAGATATAGTGCGAATCTTACGAATTTGGCAGGAGGTGAAAAACAAAACCAACTTTTACGTTAGTGAAGAAGTGGGGCTTGTTATCTTTTGACCAATTAAACTGATCTGCAATTCAGAAGGCCTTTTAACTAAAATTTTCTGTTCTGCCAATTTGCATCATTTTCCAAACCATTTTACTACCTTTGTACTTGCCTATTGTGTTGTAGAGCGTGATCCTATAGCTGTTAATGAGCCCTTGTTTGTGACCATGACACTTTCATGCGGTACTATTTTTTAAATATTTTTCAAGGTAAAATATTAGATTGTTTTTTGTTGCATAAGCTGCTTCTTTTCAGTAATTACCTCACTCTTACTCTTTCATTCTCTCTTTTGAAAGTAAACGAAGAAATGTTTAATATTTTAATTACATTTTCGGCGGAATGACAATGCCAGTTTGTGGCCTCGCTGAAAAAGAAAACTCTTAGTGTTGATAAACGATCTCGACTTTTCATAAAACGAGATGAATAATAAATAATTATGTTCTGAACAGAAAACGTCGCCTAGCAAGTGTTTGAGTTTTGGATGAATGTAAGTTATTCCAAAACCTAGCAATCTAAGTATTTTATTTCTCAGGATATAGTCAAGGCGGGTATTGAAAGCTGGTTGAGATTTTGTTCCCAAGAATCGTAATAAAAAAATTTAAAATTACTTTCGGCAAGTTCTTTCCGAGAGTGTAAGCTTCTGGAGCCTCGTTAGCTTTCATATCGAATTCTCGTCATAAAACGTCGACTTGAAATGATTTAAAATGCGCTATTGGTGGCCCAACCCCCGTTTTCCCCGCAGAAACAATCATACGAAGCAAAGTTGTAAAAGGATGAAAATTGTTCGACATTACACCAAAAAGGTCTGTAAAACAAGTCATTTGCATGACTGGGACCGGTTCCTCGCAAAACGTAGTACGAAACCATGCAAATACATTTTCAAGAAATAGACGGGGAGACCACATATACCACTATTTAAGACAGGGAGACTGTCTGAAACTGAATTATTACCAGAATCTAAGGAATCACTGATCCGCGTAACCTTCCATGGCCAAATTGAAGAATGAGTTTTAAAAATTTTTAGTCAACCTCGTCAGTTGATAGAAGAACTTATCCCACAGTGAAACAAACATTAATACGCCTTATGACTGAGGAGGTTTAAAATAAGAGATGGTTTGCTCTGAGGATCCTTCTATTAAAATTTGACAGCTATTTCTCATGGTTTCCAGGTTTAAAGTTTGTTCAAATTGTTTATTCTTCGGCTCCACTGAGTGAGAAAGCAAACAATCAGTGATCCAGTGCAGATTCACTGAACAAAGATCAAATTCACTGCATCTAAATTAAATGAAAAAACAATTCTTCATCTTCAGTGTAGCGAGAAATTACCATAGGACATTTGCCTCGAAATCTTTCGCGAATTGTCGATCACAAAATGTTTAGGCGCTGACCGCTTAAATCGGTATTAAATTTCTTATTACAAGCTGCGAAAAATTCAGAAATGTTCGTTAAAAAGTCCGAAGATTTCCTTTCATTAGCTTATCGGCAAGGAATGTTTCCACCAGAAGCAGGGAAAACCATTGGGCGTGAAGTCAATAAAAATACCGCACGCTGATTGGCTGATTTCGTCAAACACTTGTCACGATTTAAAAATAACTCGAAAATTACGTAATGCGTTTTGGTGCTCTCCCAGCGCGGGAATCTGAGAATCTCGAAAAGCGTGTGGCGTTCTCGCGAAGTTTGTTCAAGAATCTTGCTTTTTTCAAGTGGTTTGGAGATTATTATGGTGAAACCAAGCATTGGAGTTGGTTGATAACAAATCTTCTCTCGCGCTGGTGAAGTTAAGCCCCATCCGGCGTAATTGTTACACCTTACCAATGCTCTATGTTGGAATTTACACAACATGCCTACAGCCTTCGAACACGGATCTTATTTTTAGTGTTTCTTGCATTCTTCGTGTCCACGGGTAAAACACCGCTTGTTCTAGTCCCGATTATTTCGAGATGATTCGGAATTTGGGTTCTGTGTTTAGTACAAAAATCCCGCCATTGATTTTTACCATTCCCTTGTTTTTATTTTCAACCCGGCAGGACTCACCGATACTCATTCGAACGCGTGCACGGACGAGCAATCGACCAGAAACAGGAAGTTATTCAATTTCCGAAAGTTTGGCAACGCTTCTGGGCTGGAACAGTGTGTGGATTTCTGTTGCAGAGATGACATATGCGAGCTGGCAATTTTTTCGCGCGGATTTCACTGTTATGGTGTGTCGTGCGACGAACCAGAACTTTGTCATAAAATATTGGATCGCTTGTTGATGGAAGATGAAAGGCAACTGGTACGGAGTACGAGAAATGCAGGTGAAGTATTTAGGAGGAAATCGCAGAGTTTGATTAATCAAAATGGTAAACTTCAGTTTAATGATAGATTTAAACGAAACTATCATAATTGTTTTCGAAGTTGCCACATTATCTACAACTATTAATATAAAGCAAAGCTTGGACTAAACTGTCAAAAACTCTTTTATCCAGGTAAGCATTGGATGAACACGTTTGATCGTTCACACGCCCCCAGTTCAAACGTCTTCATTCGACATTTTGCACGTAAGAAAACTATTCGATCGTGCAGCCTGGCCTGTTCATTCCAAACGGACACTGGAAACAGCCTTAGGCGAAAATTAAACTGCGGTTAGATATATCGTTCATGACCAAGTTTGGAGCCCCCCTGAAGAAATTTCGTTTAATGTTTATGTAGATTTATTTTTCTTCCTTTAAACTTACTAGCCTTTAAACTTAGTAAACGTTCCTACAAACTATAATAAGCAGGGTGTATGTTCTTGCGCTGATCTAACTTCCCGGGGTGGAAAGGGCGGTATGATCTTATTTGAGAGGTGTTCCCTGTCCTTGAATAACGAATTCCAAACTAACCAAGATAATCTCAATGCAGGATATATTTATTTTTCCATTTTCTTAAAAGAAAAAATAAAACATGTGATGTGGTCTTTACAAGTTTATCTAAGCGTAGTTCTTAAACTTGCAATGATTACTTATTATCTTTAAAAACGAAGGATGCCAAAATATTGGCCAATTGCAAGAAAGTATTAGCCTTGTCAATTTCGGAAAGAGAAGGATTCCAACAGTTCTCCTTAAGAAGACGAACTAGGTCTACCGAGGTTCTCTTCTTAAACAAACCATGTGAAAAAATATTGCTTACAAAAACGCCTGTCTGGTGAATTGTTTGCTTTACTGCATAGGTCCAAAGCCTGACCAACCTTGCACTAAATTCTGTGAGCCATCGTTTCGAAATTATGATCAGAAAAGTCTGTTTAAGTAGAGAAAAATAACAAAGAAGTGATTGGAAAATAGATTCCTGGATTTCCAGTTAGATAATCATCAATTATAAGCCTAATGAATTCAGTTATTGCAAACTTGATTATTTTAAGTCCTTCAGTTACGTTATAGTTAGCCTCTTTAAAGAATGTGAAAACTTTCATCGAGGAAGTAATGTCTCCGGCTTCTCATAGAAACCTTATCGAATACAAAAGCACACATTCTTAAAATCATTTTTTCATAATCGTTCAGTTTTACCCAAAACATTGTTATCGAAGGAAGAATAAAAGATGTTTT